AATCTACTTTCTCCTAGCGATAAATTCTCTTAGAGTTAAAGTTTCACTGAATAACCGCCAACAAAATCCGTTGTAAAGTTCAAAAACGGGATAACTACAACGGAGACAGAACGCTACCTTTTTTGCAATATGCCCAACAATGTGGAGTGGTGTGCAAAAGCGTTTGCGTCAGCTGGAATTCGAACTCAGATCTCATTCTTTCCAAAAGCGCGTGCTGAGCCGCTACACTACCGACACATTACTCTTTTTACGCTACATCGCGCTATCTGTTAATAGCCAGCCGTCAACAATCTGGCGGGCTAGCCGCCGTCGACTTTGAACCCACTAATGTTGACAGATATTGGGTATCAATAATCAATCAGAAATTAATTTATTTGACCGCTATTTACGGTGGTATGATGTTATAATATACCCAATAATGTAGAGTGATGCGCGAAAGCGTTTGCTTTAGTTGGGATTCGAACCCAAATCTCAATCGAATAAATTCTTACAAATACTAGGTTGGAAAGAAAGTTACCATCGTTTGCTAAAACATTCAAGATTTATACAAATATGCAGCCAACAAGCAACAACAACAATTCTTCAAAATACAGGCCATCACTATTCACCACTTTCTCCACCGGTCCACAAGGTTTTAGATATGATCGAAGTACCACTCCTTCGGCATTGAATCAAAGAACTCTTGACATACTTCTTTAACTTCATCGAATGATTCAAATCGGCGACTTTCCAGATAGTGTTGCATTGATCGGCAAAGGCCGTAATCAGATGGAGCAACGTCTGGTCTATAGGGAGGATGCAGTAGAATCTCAACTCCGTCGACATCCTCAAAGTTTGCCTTGGTCTTATTAGCTACATATGGTTTGTGCTGTCTTCCTAAAACAAAGCGCGCTTTCGACGAGCGAGTTTTAGGCACTTAGACAAATTATATAGCAATAGATGTGCGAGAAGTAGACCTCCTAAATGATATGAAAATCACACATAAGTCATGCGAAAAGACGACATTCCCATTTAAACGATGGAAACTTTCTTTCCAGCATTATAAGATGATTTCTGACTGATTATTGATATCCGATATCTGGCAACAAGAGTGGATTCAATGTCGATGACGACTACCCCGCCAAACCGTTGACAGATAACGCATTGTGGCGTAGAAAGAGTAGTGTGCAAAACTAGCTTCGGTAGTGCAACGGTTCAGCACGCGCTCCTGGAAAAAGTGAGATCTGGATTGGAATCCTAGCTGACGCAAACGTTTTTGCACACCACTCTACATTTTTGGGTATAATGTAACATCATGCCATCGTAATTGGCGGTGAACTAAAAGATTTCTGATTGATTATCTTTTTTTGCGTTAGCAGAGCTTACCATGGAACCTTCTTTCGCATGAAGTAAATTTTTCATGGAAAAATTGACATTCTTAAAGCTATCGCATCATTACAAAAACATAGATGCAATAAGAATTAGACTTTCAATAACAAATAAATAGGAGTTCCTTCTACAAGGATGTGTTTTCTCTATGGAATCATGAAGACTTTCTGATATGTGATCGCCTTCTTTTTCTTCAAAAATTCATTCTTGAAAGTTTTTCATGTTATATTTTATGTTTCGTAACGATAAGGTGTTTCTGACATATAAACTGCTCTTATAAGTCTTAATAAATCCGCATGAAAATGATGCGACGTGCCAACTACTTTTGGCACAAAACGCAGTAATTTTTTTGGTTATTACAGCGCCATATGGGAAGGTTTTTGGAGGCGATTTTGAATTTAGAATGTTCAAAATTTGAGCTATCGAATGCGTAGCCAAAGTTCAGCATAAAACTATCCACAGGCCTTAGCCAAAGAAAAAATACTAGGTGGAAACATAATTTTATTTGTTCTGCTACAATACATTATAAGGTTCTTCTCTACTAGACGGCTGCAAATGGATACACGACCATATTTGTTGTACAAGAACTTTTCAAAAAGTTTCAGTAATCATTCGAACGCTTTAGTCCCTGGCTACAGCGCGCCGCAGCCGTAATATCAAAAAACTCTTTATTAACGCTGTAAAAATCAAAATAAATTGAGTTTTACACCCGCCGCGCGCCTTCATTTTCATCACGCGCATAATTCTTTGGAAATATGAAATACATATGAAAGCGCGGAGAAAATTCCGTATTATCTGAGTCAATTGTTTCACCAGAAGTTTTTTCCAAAGCTGAGAAAAAGCTTCCAATTAAACAACAAGTTATATCCTACATGTCTAACACTTTAGACCATAGATTAATCGTCGCCCTCCCCTCCCCTTTTCCCCGACTTGTAGAATGGTGGGTAAACAAGCCAGCTGCATATATGAAGGTCAATCATAATCTCTTTGCTAGACTGCAGCGAGGCGTTTTTTTTTTTAAGAAAATGAGAACGGCTTTGGAATCACCGAAATTTACGAAATCGAATGATTACTGATAGTGTAAAGAAAGAGATCTACCCGGTAAGGTTCGAAGTACAAATCTTTTCTTTCTCCTACAGCGCTTTCAAAAGAGCTCTGTTGAAAAGCAAACAACTTTTCGACTGCTTCGGGACTTGCGCTATTGAAAGAGTAACAGAAGTCTAAGAAAAAATTTTTTCCAGCGAAACATAAGCGATATAAGGCAAAAAAGGAGTGGTGTGCGAGACATGACTTCATCTCGAACTTTACGGCACCATAAAAGGGTGTTTAAAAAAGCCGATCGTGTACGGCATTAGTTAGAAACTTGAGTTTTGAATAAATTACTGAGACATGTATGAGAAATTCTTAGTTAGCGAGTGAACAAAATATTCATTCGTCACCATCTAGCAAAAATTAATCCAGAAGAGGAGCTTTTCAGAAAACAAGCACTTTATTGCAATCGTGGTGAATTAGTTTACCGAATGATTACTGAAGTTTAAGAGAAAATTTTGACCAGACAAAAACCATTCTCGAGCAATTGTGTTTCGGCGCTAACACACACCGTCTCAAACGGATTAAATGATAGAATATAGCAGAAGAGCCTCATAAAGTGCTTCTTCCAGTACAAAGAGTGCCTATGTGTCAAAAAAAACCCTAATGTTCGAACAAGAAAGCCCCAGTTTTCCAAAAACACATATTCCTATTTTTTATATGGTAATGCCTCCTTTTTTGATGAAGTTTTTGCTATTATTTGAGATTTGAGAAACGTTAATACTTTTACTGAGTCTGTTTTGAAAAAGATTTTGATGGTACGTCCTACTAAGGGAAAAAATCACGTCTTGCTTCAGAAGTCCTCTTTTAACCTCAAAACGAACTTTTTGGTTTATATGCTAACATTTTAATTCCATGTTAACTCTGTAGCTACAAAAGAATTGAGCAATATGCAGGAACTTCTAAAACCCTTTGAGGACCAGGTGGGACGCTTTGCCGGCAAAGCGCGACGTCAAACTCCACTCAGCTACTCTAATGGTGGCGTCCTATCAGGAGAGAAACGCGGTACATATCGTAGAGACAGAGGGAGATAGCATCATGGATGCAGAGGCACGAATACAGATTCAGAGGGCGCATTATCATCATAAAAACTATGAATTTATCGAAAAAGCTTATTCAGTTGAATTCCCATTATGAAGAAACTTCATCGCTACAAAAAGACAGAATGTTAGTGCAAAGGTTTCCATAACGTGATCTGAGTGAAAATAACACATATTTACTCAGATTCAATGAGAAGAGTGCATGCGGCGCATACAAGGTAGATAATTCGATTGCGATCCCATTGACTCACCAAGCCATACATCCCCGCCGAAGTCAGCCATTTGGTATCAGACTTGTCTTGAAGGATAAGCAGCACAATGTTGATTCAGCGGTAGGCTAACACAAGTCAGTGTGAAGGCCAGATATTAGCGCATCCCTCAAGAAGGAGTGAGAGTATTGATGGACCTTTCAAAGCCACCTATATGTTTCCTCATAAAGTTATTTGCAAAGGTGAGAATTGGACGAGGTACAGGAAATCATTTGGAGAGCATAGTGTACTAAGAGGAGTCAGTGTATCACGTGAGATGTCAAAGACTGCAGCAACAACAAAAGTTTATTGTTGAGAATGACTGAAAAACTCTCGAGCAAATTTACTGAACTGGCATCATATCACAATCTACGAGGTCATTTTTACCAAATAGGCCTTGCTTTATAATTGTTTCTTACAAACTCTCGTCATTTTCTTTGAGTTACAGCCTCTGATTGCTTACCAAAAATGGTTAATCATACCCAGAGCCTACTCTCCTCTGCCTTTTCCTGACTTCAATTTTCTCAAAGTCTCAATCAGCTGCTGTAACGGCCGCGTCTCGTATTGTGAAAATGAAGGCGCTCGTGGAACGCAGACGCAAGTAGCACTGCATTCTCGCACAGAGATTCAAATATCGTCCCCTTGGACCGCCGCGTACGCAGCGGCGCGACGCCTCCTGCCTATCAACGTTGGTCGTCAAATCGATCAATGTATTTATAATAAAAAAGGCGCCCAGTTCTCTTGAAATATCCTGTTTTTTTCTGTACGAAAGCCATATCAATGGATTGAAAACGTAAATCTAAATCGCTTTCCATTTCCTTCAGCAGTGCTGTAAAATCGGTATGCAAAAATATATTCTGCGATATAAGCTTCTTTTCAAATCATATATGAAGTATCATAGGTATATGGCCAGAGTAGCTTCGCTAGACTCTGTATTTTCTCGAATTTGAAAGTATTTTTTCAAAAACGATGTGTCGCTCTTTCAATCGTAACAAAAAGGGTTATTACTGCCGCAAAAAAGAATAAAAGACCGAAGTCTATTCACTAACTCCATAGAGGTTTCAACTTTTGAAATACAATGAAACCGCAAAAATTGTAGTCTTTTTTAATGAAGTGACGTGGTATTGCATTATAATGTGCCATTTTTATTCAACAATTCAATATTTCCTAGCACTTTGGCATCTTTGAACTAGAGACAACCTTATCGAATTCTCTTCTATCATATTCTACCATTCACTGACGATCATACTTCCTGAAGTGACAATGAAAATATAAGCTTTGCAAGAAAACGATAGCATCACAGTGCTTTACTCTCGCTTTGTGAAAAATTAATATGTACCTCAATAAGTTGGTTTTTCTTTAGCTATAAAAGGATGAAGGACAAAGTTTCCAGCCTTGATCAATCCCTGAAAGATGCACCATGCAATGGTCTTCAACTTCTTAGCTTCATTCGAGGTGATTGAATGCTTATCTGGCCTTTACAAATGACACG